TCAGTCATTTATAATCGAAAATTGTAATTTTTGCTTTGTCATAAAAAATTAGACCCCACAATTACAAAAGCGTCTATAGTTAGGGCTTGAAACTCATAAATTTTAAAAAAATATTTGGGGGTTACTATTCTAGATTTTATTTTTTTGGAATATTGAAAACGTCATATTTTTTCTGTTACCCATTTAAAGTGAATGAATTATCGAAGCAATTTCTTACTATATTTCGATAAACTCGCAAGTCAGAAGAAGTTTGTTGTCTCCCAGTTCAACCACAGCAACAGTTTGGTCGTGATAGTACACCATCCGGGCTGATTCGTTGTAGGTCCTTTTCCCAGAGTAACCCTTCAGTTCCGGCTTGGGATTCTCCTTTTTGTTAAACTTGTCGAAAAACGCGGTGAAATTTACTGGAAACGATGTCTTACAGTCGACGTCAAAAACTATGATTCCAACAAATACTAACAAACCGATTATGTCACTCGAAATCATGATGACGAACGTCACAGATAACGTCTATATGTATAAAAAAAAAATGTCCCGAAATCTAGTAGGTTCGGCTGCCTTTTTTCAAAAGAGAGTTCGATACCGATTGGAAATAAGCGAAAATCGGTCACTTGTCAATTTTTTTTTGTCGTTTTCTATCAAGACGAACCATTCTATTTTTTTTTGTGTGGAAACTCGAGGAAGATATTAAAGAACGTCGTTTAAATGTCAGTTGATGCGCGCCGTGAAGATAAGAGAGAGCGGTGACCAGAAACGTAACATGTCTTTGCCGATACTGGGTCAGTACTGTACTAGTACCAAGCGCTGTTTGTCAGGTTTGCTTATGTGTAAGAGCGCGCCTTAGTTTATTGTTGCAGCAAGGCAATAATTAGACTACCGCCGCTCACCTGTTTCTGCCGATGGTTCATTGGCTTTAATGGCGCACAACAATTAACTTACCACCACCATTTTGTCTGTCCTTGGCAGACAACTGCATTGTTGGGCTCGTTTTTGAAGGTTAACTCACATACCTACAATGTGTCCCACTTGAACGGTTTACAAAGCCCATAACTACTGATAAAGTTAAGATCAGTACTAAGACTAAATGAACAAGAGCAACAACAAGGTTTTCGCAAAATTCTCTCAATGATCACCCAAATTTTTATTTAAGACTTCAACAATGTCAAGGACACAGACAAATAGTTGAGAAAATATGTAGATCTGACTTGATGGATCTTCCAGTTCATTTCGACCACGGTCCATCAGCTCGGATCTATCTTTTTGTTCATTCAATTCCGGTCGTGAAAGTTTCAAATTATACCATAATCGCTACCATAACGAGTTCTTCGGTTTTTTTAGGGGATGATTGTGGACAGTGACTCAATCTTCTTCGACGATCATAGTTACGTGAAAAAACGGACCCACAATGTCGAAACCCAAACTAACGACTCTTTATCTCATACCTCGAGTTCTACCGTATGTATCATGCGAATTTTAATTCGTGATAGCATATTTTCGATTAAGTTATTTTTAATACATAAAGTCAAGCACTTCGGTAACAGAACACCCTAACAAGTCGGAGTCTCAGTTGGAGAGTAGTCAAAACGATGAGAAACCAATAAAACCAGACCCCAAAGTTAAACCCCGAAGTCGAAAACGAAATTACAAAACCCACCACCAAAGTACCCAGTATTCTTCAAGTCTTCAAACGCATCCTCTTCTTTATAAAACGACATCGACCGAAAATACCAAAGATACCACCAGGCAAGAGGTCTACAAGGTTAAGGAACTCGGAAATCTTGAAACTGGCGACCCCATGGTACACCCCATAACGTTTTTCGTAAATTATTTTCCAACATTCAACAATCCTTAGGTTTGTTCGCTGTATATTACTTCATTCAATGCTCTGGAAGACCAGATTCTTATGGACGTGGAAATAGACCCATTTGCTCAAGCGATAAAGGAAGTGATAAGCGGGAAGGTGAGGATAAGAAAAACCCCTTGTGGCCTGATCGTGGCTCTAACAAGGGAGGAAGATGCCTCCAACATTATGTCACTTCCTCTCCAAAAGATCTTCAACGGACCCATACAGGTGGCGCGGTTCCAGACAGGAGAAGCAAAGTTTAGACCTGCCGCCATCATCAGAGACATCCCCTGGTGCATTTCGAACATTGAGATAGGGGAAGCTCTGAGACTGCAAGGAATAAAGGCCGGAACAGTTGTCAGGTTCATAATGTCACTACATTAAAGTCCAAAATAAAGTAGAGCCTAATAATAGAGCGGCAGTTAAATTTTACATTACTGTATCATTCCACTTCTGTTATCAGACAGATGTAGACAAAAGATACAATTTAAAATTCGGAATAGAAAAACTGTAGACTATCTCGTCCTCTCATATCTTCCATAAGGATTTAACTGAAATCCTTAGAGACGACCAGTAGAGGCCATGAATGTTTTTGTTGCAGGACGAAGAATTACGTGAAGGTGGAGGTCCAAAATGCATTAGACCTTCACCGCCTCGTAGAGGAGGGTTTGAATTTTTTCGATCATGCGATATTCCCGGCATCAGCAGAAACTGCTGCACATGCAGATCCTGATATCGTGCAGTGCTACAGGTGCCAAGGATTTTGGCATACGTCTACCCATTGCAATCAGATACCAAGGTCAGTTAGTTAATATTATCCTCATCGACATGTGCTTCGCTAAAGAACCTTAAATCTTCGTAATCAGAATCAGTATTTATCTCATACCGCTCTCCTTTTATGACTTCTATTGATATCTCTGTACTTCTTTTGCAACTTCCAACATGTCGGGGAATTCCCGAAATAGTTGATGTGCTTACAATGTCCATGTCGCTTCTCCTGGTGACAAATTGGTTAATAGTAGATGAACTGATGCTACCCTGATTCGGGTACCGTTCGGGTGTTCTTGAAGATCGGGTTGCAGATCTGATTGAGTCTCCCAAGGGTACCGACTAGGGATCCACGGTTGATTGAACCGAAACAAACCTTGTTCTCTATACATCGGCATAAATACAACTTGCACAGGAGAAGTTGTTAGTCCACGTCCAGCATTGGAGATGGAAGAACCTCTGAAGAAGCTCGCCACTCTTCCTAGCGAAACGGTAGGAAGCAACAGCAACCGACGACGGCCTTTAGACCTTGATCAGGACAGCATCAGTTCTCCTTCTGACCTTCTAGTACATGTCATCCCGTTCTTTGTCCTTCCCTGTCCCTTTAACTATTTCCTTTCTTTCGTCTTTCAAATACCCTAAACATAATCCTGACGCTTCCCGATACAGGTGTGTTAGATGTGGTGGTAACCATGACATAGATTACTGTCCACGACCAAGAAACAACCCCATTTGTTGCCATTGTGGCGGTCCACATCATGCAGCATACAAATTGTGCCCCGTAAGACTGAGATTAATGCATTCGAGTGAGGTGACGTTCACGCTTTCGAAGAGGGCTAGCAAGTCTAAATTTGGGACAGTAAATTCGTAGTTTTTTTGGTCATATGGGCAAGGATATCGTAATGAAAAATGTGCATACATTATGTATGTGTTTATTATTAAAAATCGTATTTCTCGATTGCATTGCAAATTTCTTGTATAAACAAATGAATTTGTTTAGTTTTTTATGGGATTTGACGAAATCGTTAAAATGAAGTGATTTTGTGGACATAAATAAACGGTTTGTCTTATATATTGTGTGGTCCCATTATTTGTTCTACTGTTACTATTTTATGCAATAGAATTTATCGGAAACATAAACCTAATACATTAGTAAGTTATTATTATCTATAGAAAATGTAAGTTAACAGTTACTCTTAAAATTACAATTTTGTTGAAACGGTCAACAAAGTCGGCGTTGATTTTCCACTGCCCATCTTCTGTTTTACGCATGCGCGAATGTCGAGTTTAGTACTTAGTAGCTGCCGCTCCGCCATTAAACAATGTTTTCGGTATTTTAAAAACGTGTATGCAATTTTCACCAATTAAATGTGTTTGTTCGCCGTTTTATAACGATAAATAGTGTTAATTGGGAACTGTATTTACTAATGATCATTAAATTACAGTTTATATACAAATACTCTATCAAAACAGTGTTTCTTTGATAACGATGTTGTAAATGTGACGCGGTCGCGTTTCGCGTAGTGTCCGAAAGATTCATCTTTGCTGTGAAGAAATCTTGATTTCCCAATGTAAGTTTTAATTAATATCCCGTAGATAATGATTAAACATTCCTATATATCTAAAGTTTTAATGAAACAGATGAGCAAAATGTAGTAGATATTTGTTAGGTTAGGTGTTTAAAACCGTTTTACTATTAAAAATTGACAGTCTTATTTCCTTATATTAACAAGTTTTTCCTCCCTATCAGTCACTGTGAGCTCGAAACTGTTAACACCACTGTTTCGAGTGGTCGAAATTCACTTTTGGGAACAATTGGTTTAATCACTTTCTTTGTGTTAAAAATTATTTGAAAAATTAAATTTAAAGGANCGTATTGGTCACAACAAGGAAATAGGTAATAAATTTTCACTGATTGACACTAATAAATCTTTTCTTCTTATTAAATAAAAAGATAATTTTTGTGCCTGTAATGGAATAAATAACTAACAAATATTTTTCAACACTCTGTATATCGTGTAGACTTTGTTTGCCCATCATGCTATCATTATTAGATATTAAACAAGGAAATGAATGTAGTAGAAATTGTTAGTGTAGTTGTGTTAAAACTCTACTATGCATATTTTTGTCTATGTTTAACTTCTATTAATAACAATCAATAATTATCGCCTCATTATTTTAAATTTAAATGTAGTTGGAGGGAAATTTGCTATTTACTCTGTTAACACCACTGTTTCGAGTGGTCGAAATTCACTTTTGTGAACAATTGGTTTAATCACTTTCTTTGTGTTAAAAATTATTTGAAAAATTAAATTTAAAGGAATTGTTTGTAAATAGGTATGCAACACATCGTACACTTCAGCATGAGAAATTGCTGATACTAATTACGTAGTACTATTTTGCCCTGTGCTAACAGCACTCATAATTTCTTTTATAAATATATATTCGAATCTTGTGATGGGACTTCGTCTTAACTTAGTTGCTTTAGAGACCAAAAGTTGAATTATTACATCTAAATATAGCAAAAACACATTAATATTTATGAAAAAGAATTTATTATTTTTTCACTGGAAACCATAAATTGAACGTTTTTCTCTTACCAAGGGAAATCATTTTAACATTAAACTTCCTTTGGTACGTTAGGAATACAAAAGTATTTACAATTATTATTTGATGGCAGTTTTTTTTTCTATGTTATTAAGAAAGCTTTCGTTATCCGATATTATTTTTTCAAGTCTTTCTCTTGTGGCCGAGGTCTGGTTCTGTTTTAATTTTTCTTTGGCTGAAGCAACTTGGCAACGGTAGCCTGTTACATTATGAAAAACTCTAATATGTCTGTCGCCTGTTGTTAACACGTATTTGCCGGCAGAGTCAAACAGAAGGGATGTAATTGGACCTAAAAAAAAATGCATCATAAATATAAAAAAAATCAGAAATTCGTATTACAATTGCGTACACGACCACCAAACAAGAAGAACAAAGTCAGCAGAATTAAAAACAGACACATTGTTTATTAAGTACTCATTAAATGCTAATTAAGTGCGCTAATGAGGAATTCGATGTTTCATGCTGCTCAAGAAGAAGAAAAAATTACTTAATAAATGAATTCATCGTTTTTTGTCACACATTAATTAAATGCTTATTAAATGCTCTCGAAACAGATCAGTTGCAAATTAAGTGCTGATATTATTTTTTCAGTAGGAAATAACTCAGAAAGTAATTAAATACATTCAAAAGAAACCAGCTACGAATTAATTGCTTCTTATATTTTTGTAATATAAATATAATATAAATCATTTAANAATGCTCCAAACATTTACCTTCTCATTATAACACTTAATTATTCTTGACTTAGTCTTAAAACAATACATGACTTAAGCAGTAGTTTTTCTTTCGTATACCTGTTTTTGGTTTGCCTGGTATGTCAGCGTATTGTCCAATTGGAGAGGTTTTATTTACTGGAAAAATTATAAGAGCATTTAATTCATAACTGACCTGTTTCCGAAGCATTTAATTACTGTGTAACCAAAAAGCTATATTCAATGTTTAAATAATAAGAACACTTAATTCGTAACTGACCTGTTTCCGAAGCATTTAATTACTGTGTAACCAAAAAGCTATATTCAATGTTTAAATAATTTTTTCACTCTGTTAAATTAATATTATGCTAACGAATCAGTAATTTTCGAAAAATGTCCGAAGCATTTAATTTCTCATTAGGGCACTTAATTAGCGTTTAAAGAACATTAAATTTTTAATGGTTCTATTGATTTTGTTCTTCCTACTCAATGGATTTATATTATAAAAGATAGGAAAAGTGGGAAAAAAATTATAAAGGAAGAGAAGGTTACTAGACGAGTACAGGGTTGGTGGAGAGGGAGTATCGTGCTAGGTTTAATTCAACCCCCCTCTCGCTACCTTTAATAATCAGGAAATATGATTTTTTTATCTATTTTTTGGCTGAATTCACATTATTTCTTGGCACACAGAATATATAAGATATACATGGTCGTTTGTTACCTGTATAAATGTTTTCAATCGTGTAATCCATTTGTCCCGATGATGTACTGTAAAGTGTAAGGGAATCAAACGTTGTTATCGCAATAACCTCGGCATCTGGAGAAAGGGCAATCCTTGAAGGGTTACTAGCCTGTTCATATTTTCCTGTTATTATTAAATGGGGGTCTTCACCTTTTTTATAATCAACTAAAAATAAAAAATTTAAATATGTAAGTAGGGGAAAGAGGGGTGGAGGGCGGTTAGGAGAGGTTGCCTCCACTCCACCCCATAAAAAATACAACCTATATGTGTAAGTTAGGCTTGAGTGGGAATACTTCTCTAATTCCTATGTTTTATTGAATAAATACAAAAAAAAAATATGACTCAAAAAAGGGATGTTTCCACACCTTCCTCATCGGTATGACCACGAACCTTTTGTATCAAAAAGCTTCCAGGTTCCATCTTTCGACACTGTTGCCATATGTGACGTGTCAGCATCAAAGGCAACGTCGTATACACCCGAAGTGTGACCGGAAAGTTCAAATGCCCGCTTTACTTCCTGAAATTCCCCCGCTTTGTTGAAAACTACTTCCCAAACTTTTACGTCCGGCGCAAAACCTGCAAAATACTTTTGTTGTAACAATTGCCTTTATGCAAATTAATGATAATTAAATTGGAACAATGAATCAGTGGGTGTGAAATTGTAAAAAAAAATGTCGTTTAGATTTTCTTTTTGACTCGGATCAACAAACAAAAATAGAAACTTCCTCTTTGTTAATTTTGAATTCCCTGAAGACCAAATTAAAGCTGCTTTAAATAATATTTCTAGATTTTGCACAAATTAACAAAAAAAATAAACATAAACGTTATGGTTTTCTGTAAAAGTTATATATATACGTAATCACCTGAAGCAACAATAAATCTCCCACAGGGTGTTATTTTTGCACAATAGGTGGCCATAAGGTAGGTGTCGACTAAGGCCAGCTGTTGCCCTTTCAAGTCCCAGACGACCATATCAGTCTTGTTAGAACACGTCATAATGAATTTGCCGGTACACGCGATGCCAATTGATATCACGTCATCTTTATGTGCCTAAAACAAAATTGAAGCTATTTTAAAGTAATTATGAAATCGTTATTACGCAAAATAAAATTAAATTTCACAATAATACGTGTGTTCTTATGGGACTCATCCTGCACACTTTTCTACCATAATGAACGTATAGTTGGGACGTTTTAAATTGGCAAAGTCTGCAATAAAACTTTTGCATTTACTTTCTTCTTTCAACTTACTAACTAGACTAGACTGCTTGCTGACAGAACGTCTATTTTTACTCACAACAGACGTTGTAGGGAATATAGTATAATTGACATAGAAAAGAGATGCTAGGTAGGAACTGCAGCGGACACTAATAAAGAAAAGACATTACGCCAATTAATGTGTACCAGAAAGAGATGCTGTACGGGTGCGAAACATGAACAGTGGGCGCGGCGGAAATGAAGTGGTTAGAAGCGTTCGAAATGTGGTGTTAGAGGCGAATGATGAGGATACCGTGGATAGAGAAGGTTACAAATGAAGAGGTATTAGAAAGAATTGGAGAACAGAGGACTCTGTGGAAGTCAATAAGAAATAGGCGAGATAGGTTAGTAGGACACCTTCTCAGGCATGAAGGTCTAGTCAGAGATATATTAGAGGCAAAAACGGGAGTTATGAGAGGTAGAGGTAGACCTAGATTAAATAATTGTTCGCAAATAGTTAAGGATGTGGGTTGTTATAGTTTTAGGGAAATGCGAAGATTAGCTCAGGATAGTAAAGAGTGGAGGTGCGTGTCCAACCAGTCTTAGGACTGACGACCTTATGATAATGAGAAAGGGATGTAGACAAGCAGTTAAAGTGGAAGCAAGAAAGAAGATACGTCCATTCTCACAGATAATTTATTGTGGACTTTGCCAATTTTGATCGTCCGAACTATAGTTGTTTAATTTGATATTTACTTGCTGTTAAATGTAAATACGTAATTTAACTTTCTCGTTTTTACCATTTTACTTACCTTGGGGAATGTTACAGCTTTCACAGCAGGTCCTAACCAACCGTCCTTCTTCTTTTCTACTTTGTAAACTTCCAGTGTGTTATCGTTGAATTTGTTGATAATGAACGCTTTAGAATCCGGACTCCATTTGACAAACGTTGCGTAATCAAATTCTACGTTTATTCTTAATGATTTGTGTTCTTTTTGCGTCAAATCCTTTGTATCCCACAGGAGAACTGTTCTATCTAAAAGGAAAAAAGGCTGTGTTACGTGCAATAGATATACAAAAATAATAATTTAAATTTTCGAAAGTTTTCAATAGAAAAAAAGGTCTTGACAGTTCCACGCGTTTCTGAGAAAAAGGGCCTTGAGAGCCAGACAGACAGACAACGAAGTGATCCTATTTTAAGTAACATATTTTCTTTTCTGGTTTTTTGAAATAATCCATTGATGTTCATTAGTTTTGGAAATAAGAAATAATAATCATTTATTGTAGTACAGTCTTGTATTATATTCCCCTTAACATTATAGCTTGCTAAACTTCAGCTACCCTATTGTCAAATCAAATGCAATATTTGATGATTCGGCTAAAGGTTCAGTTGGCGCCGGTATCTTTTAGTTTTTAACCATATTTGAATATGAGCTCAGAACGCCGAAATCGACTAAATACTAATGTGTCGGTTACGTGATGAAACTAAATATAAATCAGCGACCAGGAATAACCTTATACTTTAATTTTTATTAGACTCAAGGCTCAGAGAACAATACGTTTGTAACAAGCAGTAATGACAATTTATTGTTTTCGTTTGAAGGTGAAGCTGACTGTTATGGCTTCAGTTTTATTTAATATTGAATTTAATAGGAACATAGATTCGCATACTGTCACTGTTGCACCTTTTCATAACAATGATAAATGAAAACGACCAGGGACGGACTAGCCTCCCAAAAAGGAGTCAATCAGGGGGTCAAACCGGTCAGATAAAACTAATGGCCTAAACGAAGAAATTGAAAAATTTAAAACATTAAATTGATAGGTAAATAAATAATAACAATGATAAATGAAAACGACCAGGGACGGACTAGCCACCTAAAAAGGAGTCA